GAATCATGCATAACAAGATAAAGTAAAAAGGGAATTTCAATATTAAATTTATATATGTAAATTGTAGTGTTTGAAACTTTTCTCAGTTGGTAGTTTGAGTATTTTTGCTTTTTTGTGCACGATAAATTAGAAAATAAACGATGAGTTTTGATTTTAGACTTATCGAAGGGTTGGTCAGGTCCACAATGGATGCGGAAACATGTTGAGCATTACCGGACATACAGGCGAACCTCAGATTTACGAAACCCTTGGCAAAATTTATATTGTGACCCATTAAGATGACGATAGTACAAAATATCAGATTTATTTATTATTTCTAATACTGTGAAGATATTAATTAGATAAACACATATTACAACAAATTAGTAAACACAGCAATCTCTAATTGTATCTAGTTGTGAAGTAGCAGTTGATTATTAGAAAACAATAGAGAGGTTGCGGCCGAAGTTTTCATTGCTGAAATATGAACGTCGAACGTCGAGCGCCGCCATCTTGTAATCCTAGAAGTTTGACAATTGCGTTTGGAACGTCGAACGTAGCGAGTAGAAATTCAGTTTAAACATTAGCCTTTTCTGTGTTTTGGGTTAAATTTATGACGTATTTTATTAAAATAATAATTATTTAAGCATTTGTGAATAACATTGTAAAGAAACAGACGATTTTAATTCAGAAATTATTCAATTACTAGCTGCAAGGACCCGCTTCGCTGGGTTTTTATTTTGGGCAAAAAGTAACGATAGTGAAGATTAAGATAATTACATTATAGCCAATCTTACCCGTTTTCACGGAATGCAAGAATTAGATCCCCGTTTCCAGACTAATTAGAGACCTAGTCCCGATTCTATTTCTAATCGTCTCCTGTTCACGTCCAGTCAAACGAACTACAGGTAACCCCCGTATAACACGGTACTGTTATAGCACGGATTCACTCTGACACGGTTCGAGAATTGGGTAAAACGTTCGTACATCATGAAATATAATAAATTTTTACATACTTAAGTAATAATAGTTCACGAAAATTATTATTTTCGTGAACTATTAGTGCTTAAGTATATAAATTTTTTTTCTTTCCTTCTGTCGATACATATGGTCCTTCTCGAAACTTGTTTCAATGTTGCCAGATCTCGACGCTTCTGTTTCTGATGTTGCCAGATGTTTTTCCCTTATTTCATACTTGCATTATTCTTCATAAGTGCTTAGCACCATATGAGGAAATTTATAAAGATCTTTTAACTATTAGCAAGCAATCTAAAATTGCATACGTTTTGCAAAAGGTAAAGCATGGATCTGAAAATAATGCAGAAAAATGCTTAGAGGATAAGGATAACTTGCCGTTTTCTTTTTGGCAAGTTATCCTCGATTAATAGTGCTTTTAGTGATAACGAAGAAAACATTATTTAATTTATATTAATATGTATCACTTAAATATCTTTATTAAAATTTTCTTATCTTAATTATGAAAATATAATAGCATGTTTTTTTAATTTTTGGAACCTATCCCGCCTTTTCGTATTAGTTCTTTGTTTCGCATAACACGGCAATTTTTGGAACGTAACTACCGTGTTATACGGGGGTTACCTGTATTTTCAACGTTTCTGGAACCTTTACAATCGTTCTATAATCGAACCAACATTCGAATTTTATGTTCGAATTAAATTCGAACAAATTCGAACATAAAATTCGAAATAGAAAACCACTTTCAGTCCCATATCTCCCGCACCCTTATAGTTATCGAGACACAACCACCATAGTGCACGAACGGAGACTTGGGGCTACTACCACATACAAACACCATTCATGTGCAATGTGCAGTTTTGACGGAAAAGTGAAATATAGGGACACACACGTCCATTTATATATATATATATATATATATAATAATATAGAAGTAAGCTTGTTCTTTTACGGCACTTTCTGCCATCCACAGCATAATACGTTTGTAAAATTCTAAAAATAATTTCCCAAGTTGCTTTCGGATTTATATAAGCCACTACTTTATTCTAAGTGTGTCTTGGGGAACAGGCAAAACGAATCGGAATTGTCCTACTATTATATCGTACGGTAGGAGACTGGACGCTAATTAAAGTCAAAAATAATTATTTAGTGTTATTAAACATTCTCTAAATATTTTAAAATAATTTACTATATTTATTTACTTTCGCTGGTAACCTTCGTCGTTCTTAAAAGTTTTACTGATTGATATAATTCTGTACTATATTGTTTTCACACATATTACAGAGGAGTTGCCATTCGGAGTTTGTTGGAGAACTGCATGGAGATGCCTGATGAGAATCGTTAGAGCTATAAATGTACAGAATACACAAAACAGTATTATAAATTTGCCTTCGGCTCAGAAGGAAAGGACAACTGCTCAGACGTTTGCTATGTAATACGGTATTACTGGAGTTATAGGCTGTCTAGATGGGAATCATATAGCAATTAAGGCCCCTTTAGAGGAACCTCAAGCATATATAAATAGAAAGGGATTTCACTGCTTAGTTCTGCTGGAAGTATGTTATGAGAAAATGTGCTTTATTGATTGTTACATTGATGAAGTTGGGTCTGTTCGCGACTGCGCAATATTTAAGAGATCTGATGTGTATCACAGAGTTTGCAGTGTTCATGGCTTTCCACATGCATATTATCATATCATAAGAGATGGTTCATACCAACTTTCAAGGTTTTATAGTCCCCTACAGAGACAATGGTTTTTTTTTCAGCTAAAATTATGTTTAACAATAAGTTTTCATCCTGTCGACAGACTCATCTAGTTGTTCGATTTTTAAGTTTTTGGATTAGTGTTTTACATAGAGTTAAAACGTCAAACGTGTACTTCTGCTTGCCGTATAACTTTAAAGTTTAAAGTACGGCTGCAACCTCTCTAATATAATAAAATGAGCAAAACAGTTTTACAACGAATTTTGAAATTCAATAGGTGTAAAAATTAGTGATGTAACGAATATTCGGTTATTATTCGGCCTATTTTTTGCTATTCGACCGAATACCTAAAAGCGAGAGTAAGAAATAACAAAAACACAGTAAATTAATCATTATGGTATTTAGATTTAGGCTTAATGTTATCCGGTTAGTGTTGTTTGTTTATATTTATTTATAACTTATAACATGAACAAAATAAAAAAGAAAATAATATTAGTCACATGTACTCACAATTTATAATTACAAAGATACACACGTACAGTACACACCTATTCGTCGCACATCCGAGGGTCTGACCCTGCCTATCCTTCTTTTTAAGCGCTCGTATTTGCTCTTCCCTTTCTCTTTCCTCTATTGCTTTAGTCCACGTATGCCTGTGCATACATCATAATACGCTCTCACGATACTTTCGATTCGTCACTTTTCCGTCGTAGATTTCCCATTTTACAATTACGTAACTCATAGCCTAGTGATAGCCTGGTGAAATTATGTGTAAAAAAATTTGCTCATAGGTGTTGATGTTTGTTTAATAACAATAATAATAGGTTAGTGGCATTACGTAATTCTATTAATAGTATCATATCATACGTTTTTGAGGGGAATAACATTTTGGTGTGCCGTGTTGAGTCATGGGTGTGCCGCAAGTAGAAAAAGGTTGCAGGAACACTGGACTAGAGAAGCTTTTACGGCGACGGTGATGCCCCAAGTGTCGAAAGTAAATACTTCTTCGCACATGAATTGGTGGAAACGAAACAGTGTTGTATATATTGATATAAAGACAATTATTATATTCTACGAGTTTTTTTATAACTGTCCACGTATTGTTATGAATTAAATTATGTTTCAATGCATCTTAAAACATAACTTAACGTGATGAATAAGTATATTCCACATTCTTCTGGGGACCAGCGAAATTTTCTCGCGGACCACTACTTTGGCGACCTCTGATTTATCACATACTGCAGTGACGTTCTTGTCTGTCCGCTAAAACTGTCAAGAATTAACGCTATTGGCGAAGCGCTAATTAACGCTATTGACAGTGAGCCAACAGAGAGCAGGGTCATTGCCATAATGCGGTTTGCACGCCAATTTTCGTGCGTGCGTTAATCAAGCCGAATAGTTTGGCCGAATATTCAGTATTCGGCCTGAGACCGAATATACTATTCGTTGCAACACTAGTAAAAATCTTTCCTTACAGAACTACCCTCCTGGTTTTCACTGGGCTAAATTACTTTATAAATAACATAGATCTATAGCAAAATTAGCATACTTCATTAGTAATATCTTTATCAATGGAAAATATTTTTCAATGGAAATTAATGGAAAAATTTTTGAAATTTTGCAGGAAAGTTTTATTATTAGGGAAATTGAAGCTATTACATTTTGAAAATTAAAAATCAAGAGGGTGAGGAGAAAATGGTGGTCACGTGAATCTCCAATAGATTCGGACTTCATGATGATTTTACTCGTCATTCGCATTTAACTTTTTTAATACAAAACCCATCCTTACTGTGAAAATTCGGTTTTTTTGCCTTTCTATAATAATTCAAAATGTCACATTTTATTTAAAAAAAACGTTTTATTACAGAGAGCGCCACCAAAATTTTAAAATATTGCCGGGAAATTTAAACAACTCGTAACAGCTATATATATATCATAAGTTATTATTTGTTGTTGTCATGTATTGTTGCATATTGTTTAGCCTGTCAACAATGAATACTTCACTTCAAATGAAAACTTTAACAGGAATGAAATCAACCTCCAAAGTAAGTAAAATATTACTTGATTCAAACTTTTTATATTAATATTATTTAGAAGGCAGGTGAAGAACTGCATTCAAATTTCAACTGTCATACATTTACTTGGGATTAGATATTTAAAAATTATAAGTTAGCACCTACATCGTATTAATATAAATGTGAACTTAATTCAAAAATAATAAAGAAAACGTATTACAACGAAGTAAACGAGGACTATATAACATATTAAATGACATAAATAAATACATATTTGCAACGTGTTAAAAAACACGTTGCTAATATTTTTTAAAAGCGTTGTACAGATCTACTGGACATACGCTAAAATTATCGAATTTTCATTTAAAAAGTCTGAAGAATCCACCAACTTTTTCTCTCTACTTCATATCCATAAACTTTTGCTTTTCTTTTACACTAATGATTTCTTTCCTCTCTAAAAGAACAAGATTTCTTCTACGTTTTCATGATAACAACTGAAACAAACTATATAAATAAAATAAATAAAAACAGATAAAGTGAAACGATTTAATTTTTCCTACTCACTTAAAACTCCGATGAAGAAACTAAAGCTGAATTAATCAATTTATGATTGTAAGATATAAAATGTTTTATTTTTAGTGCAAACAACAAATGATGCCTTGCTTTTAAACAAAAAAAAAAAAAACATATTAACCAATTATATAACTACAGCACTAATATGCCTATTTTAATATTGCAGCTTTGTTATGTTTATTCAATTATTATAGGTAATTTATTATTTTTTAATCTTTCAGTTGACGAGGAAGGGCAGATTCAAGAATACGATATTCAGCAGAATTCAATAAAGAGAGAACGTTATAAATATAATATCAAAACAAAGAAATACGTTTCTTCCAGTAGAAAATGCAATAAAATTGAAGAAAAGATTAAAAGAAAATACTTCAAGGTTATGTTTGCATCTCATTCTAAACAAAAATTTACGTGTGATGTATGTAAAGAGACTTTCACAAATAAGAAAATATTACAAACACATCTGTTCTGTCATATTGGGAAAAAACCATTTCGCTGCACATCCTGCAATAAGAAGTTTTTGTGGCAATTTCTTTTGCGAAGACACGTGAAAAAACACAAAAGTGGAAGTAAAAACGAAATCTTTCAAGGGAATTTACGTATGCAGTCATCTGAAGATCGAGTAAAGCCATCTCCAACAAAGGGTGAAAAATCTAATATCCAGCGGAAAAACTTGCACTCTGACATTTGTGGTAAGCGCGTTCGATATGGCAAGGGCCATTTAGAAAGACATAAGACAATACACAAAATTCATGCATGCAAAATATGTGGAAAAGAATTTAAGTGGAAACATCTGTGGCAACATGTACAAACACATAGTGAAGACCGTCCTTTCAAATGCTATATTTGCAATAAGAGTTTTAAACGGATAGAGGTTTTAAAAGAACATCACAAAAATCACAGTGACAAACGTAACTATTCTTCTCAGGTATGTAACAAAAGTCTTAAAACAAAACCTTCTTTGCGATATCATAATCTTGCTCATAGTAAAAAATCTAATATCAAGCGGAAAAACGTAGGCCTATATTGCGACATTTGTGGTAAGCGCGTTCCATATGGAAAAGGCCGTTTAGAAAGACACATGAGAATACACAGAATTCATGCATGCAAAATATGTGGAAAAGAATTTAAGAGAAATGATGTGTTATTGGAGCATGAACTAACGCATAGGGAAGACCGTCCTTTCAAATGCGATATTTGCAATAAGAGTTATAAACGAAAAGTATACTTAAAAAGGCATCTTGAAGTTCATACTGATGAACGTAACTATGTTTGTCAAGTATGCAACAAAAGTTTTAAAACAAAACAGAATTTGGCAATTCATAAAGTAGTTCATAATGATGAACGTAACCATATTTGTCACATATGTAACAAAAGTTTTAAACGAAGTAATGTTTTAAAAAAGCATATTAATACACACAGCAATGAATACAAGTTTTCTTGTGACATATGTAACAAATATTTTAAAAGAAAAGATGTTTTGGCAAATCATAAGGTAGTTCATAATACTCAATTTGATTATACTTGTCAAGTATGTAATAGAAGTTTTAAACGCAGTTATAGTTTAAAACAGCATATTCGTAAATACAGCAATAAATGCAACTTATCTTGTCATAAGTGTAACAAATATTTTAAGACAAAACATTCTTTAAAACAGCATAACATTACTCATAGTGATAAAAAAAGGTATGTTTGTGACATATGTAAAAAGGATTACACCAATACAGCTGCCTTAACCAGACATTGTCTCACTAAACATGAAAATATGTATGTATGCTATTTTTGTAACAAGCCATTCAAGACTGAAACTGCGCTAAGAGAACATTCGAAAATTCACATTGAAAAGTGTAATATTTGTCATAAAGAATTTAAAAACAAAACCACCTTAATCAATCACCAAAAACTTCATTAAGACATAAAACAATTTTGTTGTGACAAATGCAATATACTTTTTACCAATAAACATTGATTAAATTATCACGATGCCATTCACAAAAAGAGAATCTTCGTCACGTTTGTGTATAACAAGACATTTCATTTTAAAAGTAATTTATTAAGCATCAACTCGTTCATCAGAATTAAGTGTATTTTTGTAGAAACTGTAAAAGCAGATTTAAAACAGAAACTAAATTAAAATTACATTTAAAATTTTTTTGTTTAGAAAGAAACCACAAACAATTACCTTATCAACGTAATATATTTGAACACCTTTTTACGTCTGAGAAAGTTTTAGATAAGCATATGATTTTCTTTTTAAATAATCACATTCATTTCTATTGTGACATTTGTAAAAAAAATTTTACAACAAAGATCGAATTCCAAACTCATCAAGAGTATGTTTATCCCACAGGAAATAAATATCAATGCAAAATATGCAAGAAAACATTTACAAAACAAATTGTATTAATTAGGCACATGTAAACAAAACCCAATTAACGCGTTAAAAAATGAGATGTTTCTGGCAAAAAATTCTGTTCAAATTACATTTTAAATATTCACGTGTGAAGTCATTTTTCACAATGGAGTTGTTCTGTTAGAAATGGTAAAGATACTTAACATTATAAACACAGTCTTTAGTATAAAAAGAAATAAATGTATTGTGTAGGTTATCTCTGGAGAAAGTTGTCTACTCTTTTAATTAAGCATTTTTGGCAAATAATGAATAACTTGTGAAAATTTTCTCAGGATAGAAGAATTTTGTTAATCTATTGATTACAATCTGATTATGTTAGTACAGTAATGTATAATTCAACGTATTAATAATAATAAAATATTGTAATAAGTACTCTATACTACGTGTTTGTTTTTATTTTTATTTTTCTTGTTTTGTTTTTTATTAATTATTTTAATACACTATTAAAATAATTATATTCATATGCACAATCGTTATTTCTTAATTTCTTATATTCCAATTACAAATATCTGTAATTAAGAATAATATAAATATAAAAGAATAAATTTAACCCAAACATTCGTGACGTCAGGTAGGCACGACGCAATAAGAATTCGATGGGGGTGCCCTGTAATCGAGTTCGACACAGTTGTGCATTGTGGTTGGTTTAAATTTATAACGTGACTTTAAAATCGATAACATGGCGTAGAAAGTTTTCGGTCTCTGTTAGTCTGTGCCTTCATTTATTTATTTATAATATACCGGAAATTCTTCCGCCAAGTACGACAGAATATTTTTTTATGAGAAAATAAATATTGAAGAATTGAGAGGAGCTTCAAGTCGAGCTTGACGTTGTAATGCTCTTTCTCAGCCCTTGACAAAGCCATTCTTACTCTATGTTTCTTAAGTCAGAGTTCACAGCTCTCGGGGTCTCGGTTGTTCTTATTCTTTTACATCTAGAATTTACCTGATCAATTTTACTCTTACGCTTACCCCTAGGCAAAATAGCGTGTCTTTTTAATTCCACTTCTATAAAAGAAAGATGAATTTTATGTACAGTGGTCATCATTCAATACCTAAAAGAAAGGACACTGCTGGGGATAACCCCCGCGAATCCTGTTGACTCTCCTCCCGTGCTTTTCATTCTTTATACGTACAGTACATGTATAAATAAAATATGGGGAGCATCTGTCAGTGCTGTGTTTTCGTTACTAATTTATTTCTTCTTTATAGGTTAGGTGTAATTCTCTGAACTTTTTGAATAATTATTCGAGAGAATTGTGTAACTTTTGTGTTGAGAACGAAATTGTGGATGCTTAGCATATTTTGGCTAAATGTGGGCGTCTTAAGGTGTTACGTGTTAAAATTTTTGGTTGCGAAGTTCTTACCAGGGGGCGTGATTCCTCAATTATAAAATTGGCTTTGCTGCTGGTGTTGTTTGGGAGCATCTGTCAGTGCTGTGTTTTCGTTACTAATTTTTTTCTTCTTTATAGGTAAGTTTTTACTATTATGGCAGTCAATCCGAAAAGAAAGTCGTACTCACCGAACTTCAGGGAAGCAGAGACCAGTAGTACCGTGTTTCCCCGAAAATAAGACAGTGTCTTATATTAATTTTTGCTCTGAAAAATACGCTAGGTCTTATTTCAAGGGATGTCTTATTTTTCCAGGAAGAAGAATTCACATTTATTATTGAACAAAAAAATTTCCAAGTCGAACTTAGACGAGAGTGACGTATATCCGGTGTGTCGAACTGTCGCCTTGTTATAGCGTCAACATCGGACTCGATGACCAATTAGTGCTTACTGAACCGTAGCACTATGCAAATGTCATGTGGCGTGATTCCCGGCCGACCAATTAGCCATCACCAGCCGTAACGTTATGCAAATCTGTGATTCCCAAGCCATAGTCTTATGCAAATCATGCCGTGTGGCGTA